TGTGTGGACCACAGCAAACTATGGCAAGTCCTTAAAGAAATGGGAGTGCCTCACCACCTTATCTATCTATTAGAAACCTATACATGGCACAGGAAGCAACAGTTAGAACTGGATATGGAACAACTGATTGGTTCAAAACTGGGAAAAGAGTACAACAAGGTTGTATATTGTCCCCCGGCTTATTTAACATATGCAGAATACATCATGCAAAAGGACGGGCTGGAGGAATCCCAAGCCAGAATTAATGAGGGTGAAAGAGGAGACTGCAAAAAATGGTTTGAAGCTCAATATAAAAAAACCCAAGATCATGGCCACTGGTCCCATCACCTCCTGGCAAATAGAAGGGGAAGATATGGAGGCAGTGACAGATTTTACTTTCTTGGGCTCCATGATCACTGCAGATGGTGACAGCAGCCACAAACTTAAAAGATGCCTGCTACTTGGGAGGAAAGCGATGACAAACCCCAACGGCATCTTAAAAAGAAGACATCACCTCGCCAGCAAAAGTCCGAATAGTCAAAGCTATGGTTTTTCCTGTAGCGATGTATGGAAGTGAGAGCTGGACCATAAAAAAGCTGACTGCCAAAGAACTGATGCTTTTGAATTGCGGTGCTGGAGGAGACTCTTGAGAGTCCCCTGGACTGCAAGGAGAACAAACCTATCAGTTCTAAAGGAAATCAACCTGAGTGCTCACTGGAAGGACAGATCCTGTAGCTGAGGCTCCAGTACTTTGGCCATCTCATGAGAATAGAAGACTCCCTGGAAAAGACCCTGATGTTGGGAAAGTGTGAAGGCAAGAGGAGAAGGGGACGACAGAGGATGAGATGGTTGGACAGTGTCATCGAAGCTATCAACATGAATTAGACCAAACTCCGGGAGGCAGTGGAAGACTGGAAGGCCTGGCGTGCTCTTGTCCATGGGGTCACGAAGAGTGGGACACGACTAAACGACTAAACAACAGCATTGATTGTTTTGGATGCTCATAACATTAGCCCTACCTCCAAAATAAGCCCCAGTTAAGTGAAACCCCGCCCTCCACCATTGTGCAGCAACCAGAAGATGACATGACTGTATTTGAATAAATGTAGATTGTTCTTCATGAAAACAAATAAAACATCACCTGAAAATAAGCCCTAATACTTTTCTGGAGCAAAAATTAATATAAGACCCTGCCTTATTTTTGGGGAAACACGGTAACTATCATGATTGTTAGTCACTGGTATGCTTACGCTGCATGAATTTGACTATACAAGTTGATGGTCCTTGCTCGATCTTACAGCAGTGAAGTAGGTGGGTTTCGTATTTTGGTTTGTCATGAAGGAATCCTTGTTTTTCAAAAGTCTTGACTTATTTTGGGGGAAACAGGGTAACTATCATGACTGTTAGCCACTGGTATGCTTACGCTGCACGAATTTGACTATACAAGTTGATGGTCCTTGCTCGATCTTACAGCAGTGAAGTAGGTGGGTTTCGTATTTTGGTTTGTCATGAAGGAATCCTTGTTTTTCAAAAGTCTTGAATCTCTTCACTTTGTCTTCATTAGACCCTGGGTTCTCGTAATAGGAGAGGGGGAGAAAAACTTATTCCTAACAACATTTTGCTACACTGTACATAATGTTATTAACTTCTAAGCTATTCTCTCACACCATTTTCCCCCCTCTGCAAACCATCCAAACATTGTAACTTTCCTTCACAGAGAAGTTACTCTTTCCTCTTTATCATTCACCACTACCTTCTCCCCCACTTTCTCCGGCTTCATTGTGTCTTTTTCTAGTTTATCCCAACTGTAACTATACAGCATTCCAAGTGTGATCGCATTATAGATACAGTATCCGGAAGGGCCTGGTGATAGATAGATAAGCGAGCATTTTTTTTCCTCTTAATGCCATTTCCTGACATTCTGTCACAGTCTGGTGCATCGATTGCAAAAACTAGGGCAGGATCAGCAGAGGGCAAAAACTCTTTTATCTTACTATCAAGGCAGCACTGCAACCAAGTCTTATCTCTCCATCACCGGATCCACCATCACACACCTGCAACTCCTGTATCACTTTCCTTTACATCTTCCTGCACACAATGTAAAAACAAAACTGGCTGCGCTTTTCTATAGAGAAAAGGCACGTCATCCCACTTAATTCTGCCCCCACCCCACCGCGCCGGTTTCAAAGCCTGGGTGGCCTGCCTGGCTATTATTAACACGAGGGATCCCATGGGCCTCCCTATGCAGCCACGTACATGCGCTCCGTGCCAGCCATAATGATAGGCATTTAACAAGTACAACAAAAGAGGTATTTTGGAGATCTGGGCTGCCTTCCCAAAAGAAGGCATCGCGGGGTTGCGGGGAAAGCTGCATCGCGCACAGCATCCCGCATATAGGATCACGTGAGAGCTGGTCTTAAAAACGCGTGGACTCTTTTCTCCATCCCTTTGAGCCTCGAGCCCTTCAATGGCGGCCTCTCCCCTGCTCCCATTTTCTCACAACAAAAGGAAAAATTGCAACTTCCCAAAGCCCCCCCAGCTCTCCCCCCCCAGCCACTGGGTCTATCAGCTGCCACACCCTGCTCTTCGTCCCCCCTCCTCTTTCCACCACGTGTCTCTTGTTGCCGCCGTCCAATCAGGTCGGCGCTCCTGATGCCTTTGGGCCAATCGGCGCGCGGGCCGCCCGCCAGTTTATAAAAGCTTTGTCTGGCTTCCTCCAGCCTACCTCGCCGCCTCTTTTAGAACGCGGAGCTCGTCCTGCAACGTTCGGAGAATAGAACCTCGAGCTCCCCAACGTTCTATATTGCAAGAAGCAGCAGCGGCTCTGGTCCAGCCTTATCTTTTTTTTTAAAAAAAGGGAAAGTGTGGGGGAAGTGATTTAAGGGGGGGAAAAACAGACAAGATGAGGGAAATCGTACATATTCAAGCTGGGCAATGTGGTAACCAGATCGGTGCAAAGGTGAGGATGACGTTTTTAACTCCTGTAAATGCAACATGAGGGTTGGTCGTGTAATACGGGAATAGCGTGGGAGCAATCGGAAAAGGGCGCCAGGAACGAGTTGAAATATTTGCCACCGTGGCAAAAGGGAAGTAATGGTTAAATGAGGCCCATGGCTGCCTTTGGCTTAAAATAAGGTTATTTAATATTCGTAGAGACTCTCCTTAATAAGAAGCCTTTAATTTTTGCTGGCTTAAAAAAAACTTAGTTCGCTATCAAATATAATTTAGGTTTCAAATGCGCTGCTGCAAAGCTGATTCCGTTCTATAAAAGGATGGGTCGCTTCTAGGCAAAGCTATTGTCTGCTTATACAGGCGGGAGGACTGTGTGCTCTTGTTTCTCACATCTAATCATTTTAATATCTATTTACTGATGCCCGAAGTATTGTTTTCCAAAAGCGCTGCATTAAATCAAGTAGACTGCGTGCGTGCGATAATGGCTTTAAAAATCTAAAAGGTTCTGCCAATATCGCCTTTTTAAAAAGAAATACAGTACCACGATTTAAAATTAACGGGATTAGACTGCAACAGCCGATGACTCAGCCGGGAAAGCTACACACTCCCCCCGCCCACGCATTCCCCCATCTGGGTGGGTGGGGGTTGAGAAAAAACGCCCGCCACTGAAGTTGCAAGTAGATTTTTAGCGCCAAATCGGTACGGCGAGGAGGTGGAATTTGAATTTTTTTTTCTCCCCAGAAGGGGAGGCGCGGTGTTTTGCCGTAACGCTTTCCTGTTCCCTGTCAAACATTTGTGGGTTGTAGATCTATTTTTATTTTTCAAACCTTAGGGGGAGTGGACGCGGGGGGAGAAGATTGGGAAGCAGGGACGCGAGGGAGGGTGGATTTCGGATTTACAACGTTGGCGCAAAAAGGGGGGGGTAAATCCATCGGCAAGGTTATCGCCTCTCCCCCCCTTCTTCTATCCAGCTTTTTCTCTGGGGATTATCTATCTGATGGGATAAATGAGATTCTTTCCTGGCCACACACTCCCCCATTCTAGTCAATTTCCGCCGCCTCGTCAGTTTCAGCGGCTTCAACGCGGAATCTTAACAATTCGAGGGGGTTTCCGCCCACTGCCCGATCCGGTGCCTGCTGATGCACGAGGCGGCCCTGCCTGAATGGCGGAGCTCATTGCCAGATAGTAAGCGCGCATAGCATACGGGATTACTCAGAAGAAAGTCCCGCAGCGCTCCTAGCAGCCGCCTTGAATTTGTGTCTCTTCTTCCCCCCCCAAAACTTTTTGGAAGGGATGTCACTTCAGTGGAATTACAAATCAGTGTTACAACTGTGGACACAAGAAACACGGGACAGCTTAACTTCTCCAATAAAATGACTTTTTTTGTTTTTGTTATCGGCAGCAACAAAAGAGAAAGGAAGGAAAACTCCCCTGGGTGGTTATTTTGTTGCCACACCAACCTTCAGTGCTCCCAAGAACGGGGTTTCTTTTGCCTTTTTAAAAACCATGATGACTTAGAAAGAAATAAGAGGGCTGATTTAAGTTTTTTTCCCTAACCCTTTCCGCTGAGCAAAATGTGCCATTTGTGGCGCCAAGGGCTCTGGCCTTTTGAACCCGCCCACCGTCTTCCTCCCTTCTTTGTCTGCTGGAGGACAGGCAAGCACATGGCTTGGGAGGGGCAGCTCGGTTCCCTCTCACTTAGACCGATCTGACGTTAATAGATCCCTCCTTGATCCTTCTCTCCCAGGCTTGATCAGGCTCCCCCCCCCCTTTAATGCCTGGCTGGTTTGTGGCTTTAAGTGATTGCCGCTTCCTTAGCATGAGATCATATTTTTTGGCTTGCTTAAAAAAAAAAATTTCTAGCGGCCATGACACCACGGGGGCCTTTGTGCGTGTGTGCATGCATGTAATGGCTGCTGGTTGGGTGGGACTCTCCAGCAGAAGGGTGGGGGAGAGAAGAGGGCTGGTAATGATCCCCAGCAGGATTTGCTTATGAAAACGAAAGGTTAGAATGTATTTGGGGAGGGGGCTTTGGATTCATCAGGAGCACGGAGACAAACCACTATTTGTGGCATTTGTTTGCCTGGTTTCTGATATTGTGAGAGTCTTTTCAAGCAAAGCAGCCTTAGTTAGTTTGGCTGTGCTAAAAAGTAACCAGTAATGCTCGCATTCTTTAGATGCCGATCTGGGTTGAATCCAGATTGAAGAAGTCTTCCACCATCGTTTTCACATTAGCTCTCTCAAAATGAATTTTGCCTGCCCTGAAGCGGGGAGATGGGGGCTCTTATTTGTATAGTAGATGGGGAATCACACCCTTTAAGGTGTGTCCCTTAAAGCTGCAGTGGAAACAAGAGCAGGCACCCCTTTCATGGCTCACTGGCTTCCTCCCTGATAGGAACAGAGTGGATTCGAGGAAACAGCCCTTTGCATTCAGTTTTGTGCAGGGTTGAGTGACTTGGGACTTTTTTATTAGGGAGTATTTTCAAAATTCACACATGAATGGGTAAAAATGTGCAATGGGACTGTATAGCTGAACAAAAGCTGGCTGGATAGCACAGTGGTTAAGGTAGCTGACTGCAGAGGCAAAGGGTTGGGCGTGGGATTCCCCGCCGTGCCTCCTGGGGAGGAACCAGCCTGTGTAGCCTTGGGCAAGCTGTACAGTCCCAAGGTGCCCCTACTCCAGAAGGAAATGGTAAACGTGTAGCCTTGGGCAAGCTGTACCGTCCCAAGGTGCCCCCACTCCAGAAGGAAATGGTAAATCTGAATACTCTTTTATCTAGAAAATCTTGAAAACTGTTGCCATAAGTCAGATTTGGTGGCACAAAACCTTGAAAAGTGTTGCCATAAGTCAGACTTGGTGGCACTCAATTCTTATAGCTGAACATATCTTAAGTAAAGAAGCGTGTGTTTCTTAAAATCAAGTAACCAATAATGCACTTCTGAAGGAAAAGGCAAGAAAGTCAGAGTTGGTGTTCAGCCCCTGTAGCATTTGAGGCTCAAAAGAGTTTTTTAATTGGGCATCAGAAGTTCTGTGTTACTCCAAAGCCTGCATATACTTCTTGTGCCAATCCCATGGGATACAATGTTAATCATAAAGTTTGCCTTCATGCTCTTTTAAGATTCTGAGTATGGTGTGACTTTTTAATATATACATGTACATACAACACAGGCTAGGAAAAGTGTCCCTTAAGGGTCAGGATGCGGGTGGAGGAAGGGCTTAAGTACAGAGCCCCCCTGCAAGGTCACAGCCCTCTCTGGGCATACAGATTATATGGACTCAGAACCTTGTTACTGAGAGTGTGGGTGAGTGACTTAAGGGTAGATATTTTTGTTTTAGCAGCACTAGACAATTGCCATGGAATGAATGATCTTCGTATGTGAGAATGTCTAAAGAAAGAGAGAGACTGTTAAGGACAAAACAGCCCCTTTGTGCTTGAAATCCGGCCAGTGAGAGCCAAATCTCTTACCTGTATAGCGCCATCCATGATTTTATTTCTTAGTCACACTAGAATGCGAGAGAACATAGTGAAGAAGAGGTATGGATGGTTAGTGGTACGGATGCTGCTTATATATTCTGACACATGCTGATTTGACGATTTATACGGTTGTCATTACAGATGAGGGTCCTTTAGTTTTAATGTGCTGTTGTATAGATCGCTAGTGTTTCTGCCCTGCCCTCCACCTTCAGTAATGATCTGTTAGATTGCTGTGTTCTGGAATAAAGAAGTCTCTTTTGTACTCAAAATAAAATGGTTCCCTTGCCTGTATCTCTGTATATCATGTAGGGGAGGAAATAGGATCTCGCCTTCCCATCTCCTTAGAAATCCAGATAAAAGAGACCACCTACTCCTGGTTTTGTATTGTGTAAGGACCACTGGGCTTGCTTTCTTTGTTTGTATTTTAGAGATCCACTTAGCCCAGTAATCTAGTGCCTGATATTCCCCAGCTGCCCCACCCTAATTCACCTCTGTGTGACCTACATTGTGGTAGATGCTGTAGCGGTGGATGCTGTAGCGTGCAGGAGGGTGTGTCTGCAGATCTGCCCTGGCACCTGATGAATAAAGAACAAGAGTGGTCTCTCTCCTCCCCCAACCCTATAGCTGAGCAGAAGAATTCTGCTTGGGCGTATTGTTGCCAGATTTTTCGACAGAATGAGGTGTCTCCCTCATTGCAGAGCCCTCTTCCACCTCGTTCTCTTGAAAGCAGAGACTTCCCACTACATCTCTCGAAGGTTCCTTATGGAATTTCTTGGAGATGCCAAGATCAGGAGTTGCTTACATTGGTCCTCCCTTTTTGCATATATACTGCTTTTTTGCCTAATCGAATCTGCAGTTGGCACGAGAGCAGACAGTGCTCTCCCCCCCCCCGCCATCCACTATATTTAAAAATTTATGGATCTGCAGTGCCTTGGGTGTGTTTGGAAGCCATTGCAGGTCCTTGGCACAGATTTTAAGACAAAAAACACTTAAGCGAAAATCCTTGGATGGAACGAATTGTGGGGGGGGGCACTGGATCTCATGAACTTTGTAGGAAGGTTGGCATTCTTGAATTTGAATTTCTTGGTGAACCTTCTTGGTTTAAATCAACTCGACTTTTCCACACAGTACGGAAATAACTTGATCCTTCAGTGCTGCTGCTGTTTTGTTCTTTTACAATAAATGCCAGTTAGTTTTTTTTTCTTCTAAAAATGGTGTGTGTATTTTAAGGGCACTAATCTATCCATTTGGCATGACTTGGTAATTTTTATAGAACAGGAGCAGGCAACCTGATGCCTTCCAGATGTTTGGGACTATGCAATTCCTACACGCCTTATTTGGTCATACCCTTTGGGGCTTATGGGGACTGTAGTCCAAACAGAACATCAGGTTCTGTCCTAACCCTGCTACAGGGCATTTACATTGGATAACTGTAGGACTGCTGAGCTTCTGGGTTTCAACCCATATGGGTTAGGTTGGCCACACTGGACAAAGCATTGCAATCATTCCTCAATGGTTTCATGTTCCCAAG